ACACATCGACTGATTAGAGTTTCGTTCGACTGTCCATGCGAGCGCAAGCGAGAACTCTTTCCCTGCAGCTTTACGTTGCGATCGTTGCACTTACCGGATGCTGGATGATGTTTCCGTATCTCGTGACTGTGCGTTGGGAGACAGTGGTGTGTTGAGTGCGCGAGAGAAACAAATGTTTATACGATATATAATAAATATATGCGCTACGAGAGAGAGAGAGAGAGAGAGAGAGAAGAGAGAAAAAGAAAGAGAGGCGGTTAAGTATCGGGACGCACGTGCGATAGTCGGGAATATTTAATTACGTGACGTTATTATTACTATTTTCATATGCCGGATAAATCAAAACGAAGAGATTTCGCTCGTCCGGTGGTATTATCCCGTGACTTTATCAATCAAAATTACATAATCAACATCGAGGCGGCGGTGCATTGACGCACGTGTGTCGCAATACTACGTGTATCGCTCTCGTACGCGTTTCTCGGTATACGGTAAACGATTAAACAAATGGGAATCACTAGTGTGTGTGTACATAGAGGACCACGGGTTCCTTAATTTTACAATTCTTGAGAGAGAGAGAGAGAGAGAGAGAGAGAGAGAGAGAGAGAGAGAGAGAGAGAGAGACACACATGAATGCTCGTCAAAGAATAATTAGTAATAATAAAAGATAATTCACATTGCGTATCTCTCGTTGCGCGCCTAGTAGACTGCAAATAGTAGTCATTCGAAAGTCCGTACGTCGTATTTTGGAGGCACGAGCAGGAAGTGTATAGTGTTTTATTACAAGAAGTCCATGCATCGACGGGATCTTCTGCGTCGCTTTCCGGACAATTACTTTTGTGATTTATTCGTAATCGAAGGAGCATTTAAGGTAGGTGCACCCGGCGTTCGAAGATTTAAAAGACATTATAACAAGTCCCGTAAAGGAAAATTGAATTGAAAGAAACTGATAGTGTCGGATGATAAGCGTAGCTCGTGGGCATAGCTTACAAGCGCGTTTGGAAAAATAATAAAATCTTTTTAATTCCTTCCGTGTAGAATGAAGCATAACGATATAATAAAGTGCCCAATGTGGAATGGAGAGGAATTTACTCTAATAAAACAATTAAATCGCTTAATTCCATATCTGAAGGATTAAAACGAGAACGGAGAAAATTAATAAATTTTTCAACTTATCTCTGACAACTTTATAGATTGAGTCAGTCTCTTTGAATTTCTTCGTCTTGCGGGGAGAGCTTTAAAAATCAATGGTAGAATTGACAGAAATCGAATAGCCGGGAGAAGCCATCTTTCGCTCTTCCGATAATTATATGAGTAATTGTCTTTTGTTTGACAGAAAAGCGATGCGAAGGTCGGTCGCGTTGTACTCAGATATACTCCGCATACCTTGTTATTCAGCAGCAGTTGAACAGATGAATATGATTTATTGCAGAGAGCCGTAATACCACAAGTGAAACCGTTCTAAGTATATTTGTTATACACACATATTGTTACCATTGCCACATGAAAGCAATTATTAACTCCATAGCCTGGGCCATTGTTAGACGAACGAGAACTCGGGACTGTTTCTTGAAGTAGGATTGCAACTGGCATTACTTTTTTAATATCACTGTAAAGTTCGCGTTTATAATTATTACACTTTTTTTTTTTTTTATAAAATGTAATAACTATTGTTTAAGAGGACAATTAAAAAAGATCCAAGGAGAGATCTGAAACACTGGAAACAAACAGTTTTTTCTCATGAATTTTAATAATTAGACTTTAGCGTTATTCTTTCTCAACGTAATATACCACGTTTTAAATTTCTTTATCGAGAAATAATTTCCAAGGGTGAGCTGATTTAAGAATAATTACGTTTCCCCATAATCTTATTTTTTTATCTCTTGTTCCTTTTTTCTTTTAACAGCGCAATCCTACGTCGAGGAAGAAAAGAGTTACAAGAAAGTGAGACAAGTTATCGTAATAGTCGCCGATTACTCCGTAACAATGGCAACGCCCATACGTATGAAGTCTGTAATCGAAATGCTTTATATTTTTACACCGAACAAAGCAGTATATAACGTACAATAAAACAATAAAACATGTCCTTCCATACATGCAACCTCAAGATGACAAATGTTAAATTTTTATTTTTACAACAGCCCACTATCACTTCCGATATCTGAGCTATATTTGGGCGTATAATTATAGTTGAGACTATTAATTAGGATATTAAAGTCGGCTAGATTCATTTTAATCGACTCACAATTTTACGATTTCTACACGAATGATCGTCTACTGTAATATACGCATTATACGATACGTATACATATGTTAGTGATATTATACCATGCGACGACTCGTTTTACGATCGTTAATAATCCGCAGGAAAGGAAGAATTTCGAAACTGTTAATTTCTTCTCCGAAATTATGAAAACGAGCTGGCCTGTCCAAACAAATACATATATATAGTTAGCGTTCCATTCGTCCGTTATCGCAGCGTCCGATTGTACATTGACGGCAATTAACTCCGGCTATGCAGATTTATGCTGTTTCGAAGCGAAGAAATCAAAAGAAAGGGAGAAGATGCAGATAGTACCAAAAGCGAATTGCGAACGCCGACGCGTTTAACTTCACGACCGACACATATATTGTACATATGTATTTATTAAAATTAAAGATAGATATACGAACTCACACACAACAAACACTCGACACACAAACATACACACGCATACATTTACGCAAAAGTTTCCACATTCGTGCCGAATACTGTGTGTTATATATTTTTCTCCGACATTATCTTCTATATCTATAATATGTCTGGTATTCATAGTTCGTTCTTATTTTAAGATCGTCTTAAGTAATGTCTTAAGATGTGTTAATACGGCTCTGTGATTGGCTTGTGACATCTTAAAACTGTATACTTCAGATAGTTTTAAATATATATATAAAAATCGATTATCAGTACCGGCCTATAATTCATATACAAGAAAAAAGAAGAACTACATCGACGTGATTCCGCGAATACTCGACAGCCTTCAATATTATTGTTTTACGTAATGGATTTCAGATACAGTTGCAAATTGTTTCTCCAAGTAATCTCTGCATATGTGAGTTTGACGTGAATACGATCGTGATAGTCTCGCGCCTTTACGCGATGTCGTTTTTCGATCGGAGTCTCGCAGAATTCAATCAAAAGTTGCAAAATCAAAGGTTGCATCCTGTCTAATTTCTATCGATGAAATTAATCCGCGGCAAATCTGCCGAAAGATAAAAGTTAGCCAGTATCAGGACGTTATGTGGTAAACATTTGCGTACACAACATGTCGTTCCATCAGCAACGTCATCATTGTTATCACCTGATCGACCGACTTATAGTGTGCCGTCGAAGTTTATTCTCATCGACGGGACACTGTACGGTTTTTTATTTTATAATCGCAATCAAATTTAATTTCAACATATTCTTGATCTGTACAGGCTGTATCGGAAGTCCCGCGATCGTTTTACATGCTATAAACTCTCCGATATGAAGTTTTATAAAATTATATGGAAATTAAGGTTACGAATTAAGGAGTTTCGAGCTATGTAATATAAATCATAAAATCTTATCCTTCTATCGCGAGATTAGTAAATTTTGTTTACCAATGTATAAATCTCAGGCTCGAGATGCAATCTAAAGCACGTCTACAGATCTATCGAGGAGGCAAAAAATTTTGATCAATTCGAAAGTATTGATGGAAAAACTTCTTGAGGGAAAAATGCGTGTGACTTTTGATATGGCCTATATATGCGAGGTTTAACATCGTACGGCAAACACACGAACAAATTAAATTCACATTTGTTTTTTTTAGAACGCCTCTAATAATAAAGACAGCCGTACTTACTTGTACGTGAAAGTATACGTATCTGAAGGAAGGGAACTTCGATATCCTCGATTCTCGCCAAATCGCGACGGAATTTTCTTCAAGCGCGGAGCGGGACGTCGCCAAATTGGGATATTGCCTTTTGGTATAATAGGAAAGGGAGGATTCTATTTCGAATCTTCGAAACGCGAGAGACCGAGAAGGGGAATAGGGCTAATGACGCGTCGAGTCGAGCCTGAAATTAATAATCAAAATTGAACGACTGTTTGCGAAACACTTGTGATTAACTATTTTATAAAACCGACCCACGGTACGTCCTTAGATATATTATGTAACAAAATGTAGAAAGCAAGAAAGGAGAAATAAATCGAGGAAAATTCCCTTGTGAGAGAGCACGAATATAAAATAAAGACTTTTAAACATTATATCATCCGTTTTTATCACACTTTCATCTGAATGATTAAAAAAAAAAAAAAAAGAGAAGAAAGAGGTAAAAAGAAAGCGCGAAGACAGTCTTTTTCGTTTCGATGTTTATCGTTACTCATTTTACGCGCGTCGAATCGTTGGGACTGTGTTCGTAATGTTATTAGCCGTTAGAAGTTTCTCGATCATTAGGAGCCGTCAAAAGAGAGAAAAAAAAAGAAATCGAATGTTTACAGAAGAAAAGGTACATACCACACGCTTACTGGAAAATACGAATATAAAATGTATTTCAAGACGTCTTCATGCAAAGCTGATGAATGTTTTACGTGTATTAAAATGTTCCCTTTTAATCCTATTAAGACTTACAAAATATTATAAGTATTATACTTTACTTGTATATATACATATGTGATAAAAAAAATATATATATATCTATATATATACATCTTGTTCTCTTGTGTGCGTAAAATTTATATTCGTGACCTGTTCTCCGTAAAGCAAATGTATATGTTGAAACATTATATGCATAGTTAATTCGTAATAATACAGGTTATATGTCAGAATCTTGATACCGTGAGAACTACAAGCGAATTTGCAAATAAAAGTTTTATATATTTACAGAAAAATATATTTTTGACTATCTATTTTTACAATTTGGTTTTACAATCTTATTAAATAAACAATATCAATGTGAAAACTCGCAATATATATTACAATTTGTGCACAATATATATTACAATTTCATTTTAATAAGATGTGTATGTGCAAATTATGTCTTTGACATGTTAACGTTTTTAAAATATCGTGATTATCAAGCAATTTTATTTGTATATCGTGCTATCTTTCATAGATTTCATTATTTAAGTAGAATGTGCATTATGAGTTTATCACAGTTTTGCAACAAGATATAAATTCATGCTTATGTATACTCAGTCAATGGGAATTATATTAATAATTCCTATAGAGAATAATATGTTTGAGAATCCAGTGATCATTCTCCTTTGAGCATATAGTTTTTTAAACATCATTTGAGGGTATCATGTCCAAGTCGGAGACAGTACTAATGCTAGGTAAACTACTGTCGCTCCAATCAGGATGTGGACAGTCCCGTAATGGACTAGGTACATTAACAGGTTTCCTATTTTGCATATCGCCTTGCTTCCTTATGTCAGAAACTGTTGATTTTGTAATGCTTTCAAGAACTTTTGATGCATTCAAAAACAAATTTTTGGTGTAATCATTTTGTTTTTCCTTAAGCGTTGTATACTTTCTCATTTTATGAATGTCATTTTCTTTATTGTCATCCTTCTTTGAAGATTGATGCAAGGATTTTTTCGTGGTTACATCGTTCGCGTTCATATTTTGGCAAGCAGTATTATTTTCATTATTATTTTGCTTTGCTGATTTTTTATCGTTCTTAACTGTTAATCATAAACATTAATATAAATTAAAAATTGCATTAAGGCGATTCAATTAACAGTAATTGTTTAGTAAACTCACAGAGACGTACCTTCATTTTGATCCGGCAGTATAGTATGTGATGATTCTCCATCAAGTAAACTAACGAGTTCGAAATCTTTAACGGGCACATCTTCTTTTAAAACATTTTCTTTAGGAACGGAATCTTCGGAAGAAATGTCTGATAAATCATTCCAGGATTTATTAAAGCCATTAGAAAAACTTGAGGTAGGAGACGAACATGCATGCCCTGTATGAATTAACGATATGTAAGGGCTTGTATTTCCTTCTTTCATATATATCTCGTGTAGGGTTTTTAAATGTTTTTCAATCTGATTTTGTAGCTCTCTGTAATAACAATAAATCAATTGTTACGTAATTTGTACGATTCCACAATTATGCGTCCACTGCGCGCGCGATCAATAAATTTTTTTAAATATAAACATATTAATAGTAAAATATATAATATACTCACTGTATTGTATTTCTATAATCAATAATTTGTGTATCTCTATTAGAACATAACGCTGAAAGTTTATGTATTTCCATTGTTAAACATTTGTTATCAATGTCATTTTTTCGTACAAGTTCTGTTTGCTTATTTAGATTCATTTTTAAATCTGTAATTGTTCGTTCATTGTTTTCAATTTGTTGCATTAGCCTTGATATTGTATCATTCTTCTTATAAGTTACTTCTTCCAATTGCTGTGTAAGCATCTCTACTTGAAATGTTAACTCTGCGTATTTTTCATCAACTTCCTTTAGTCGTTCATCTCGCTCTCGAATTTCACTGATGTAAAATAAAAAAATTGAAAAATTAGTATTAACTTCTATTTTCCTTATTACATTTACATATCGCATCAAACCTTTTTAATCTTTCTCGTTCTAATATGAACGATTCATACGACACAGTTTTTATCTTTTTACCAGATTCCTTTAGTGGAACTGCACTGAATTCTACTTTGGTTTCTAGATCCTGCAAAAAATAACAATGTGATAAATTCAAAGTTGATATAAAAGTAACAGAACAATTTAATAGAGGTATATAATGTCAAATAAAGTATATGCTTCAAAATATAAATTACAGGTAGACATAATACTTAGATAATATGCAATTTCACACAATTTACCGGTATCTTCTGCAATATTTGTTCCATCTCACTAAAGATTTCACAGATTCTTTTATCCTTTTTATTAACTAACTCTTTTAACTGTCTTATTAAATGTAACATGTGTACTGGATTAAAATCAGTAAATTTATTGAAATCATATTCAGAACATTGTACAGCACAATCCTGAACAAGAATTGATGAACAGCACGATGGTGAATGTTTTTCATCTGACTTCATCTAGACATTTTTTATATGAAATTATATATTTAATAATATATTCAACATAAGGATTATTATAAACAAAAAGCATATAATCATATACAGGGTTGGGCATTTAAAGTGGTACAAGCTATTATCTCTAAAGTATACCAAATTAAAAATATGTTCAGACAAAAATCGTATAATTTCAAGGAGGAAGAATGATAAAATCAATTAAAAAAAAAAAGATTTTTTAATATTATGAGGATCGTCTCCATTTGTTTTAAATGGAATAATTTGATTTTATTTACATATAATTCCCCTAATTATTCTGTATACACAAAATATTAAGGTAGAAATATAAAAAAAATAATAGTTTACAAGATATATTATACTTTATTGTAATATGTTTTAACATAAAATATAAAATCGTTCCTAAATTTTTAATTTTTTTATAAAGACCTTAGTATCTTTATACAGAATAAGCACGAGATGAATCAATTGATGTGAAAGAAACACATAGTTGCTCTTCAAAAATGATAGTTACATAGCTTGTAACACCTCAAATGTCCTACTCTATACATGTGTGCATTTAAAGTTTATGTATGAGACTTACAGGAGGATGTTTGATAGTACTTTTCTGTTGTTTTTTAGCATTTATATTCTTTTCCGCTTCTTTTCCACTATATTTAGAAGACTGTTGTTTTGTTACATGTAACAAATTCTGACTAAAAACATTACTCCAGTTTGATGGAGTTTTACTATCAGTTGTAGATCTTATTTTCTCTGCTTTCTGTCCATAGCTACAACTTGCTACAGGTGAAGTACGTTTCTGACCTTTATTCTTTTTTTTTACTGTGACTTCTACAATGTGATCTTGGCCGAACATTATAACTTCGTTGGAAGGGCTCATCGTGACATGCTTCTTATAAAAAAATGATAATTTATTCAGACATATATAATAGAAAAATTATCTATATGGGAATGCATCATAAAAAAAAATTGTGAAACCTTTTGTTCTGCATCATGAGCTTTGAAGGTTCGTTGATGATTTCCTAAACTTTTAGTCTTGACAGCAGCAGTCTTATACATTTTACTCATTTTGGTAGTTATTAAAGTCACATCGACTGCTAAATATTGTTGCACATCTTTTTTACGAATACAGTTGTATATATATTCATAAAATTCACAAAAACAAACAGAGAAAAGTAAACTTTACATTGAACATAATAGAAGATTTATATATTGATAAATAATCAGAACGTATTGTAATCTAAAAGTATGGTACTTTGCAGTATAGACCGTAGTATTTACTTAGTACTCATCAGAAGAAACATAGAGTGACTATTAATTATCTGATATAGTTTTACAAGACAAAATATATCAGCTAAAATCCTTAGAATGCAAGACATTAGATTCTACCCGACACCAAACTTCGCAGTGTTGTTAATTACTCTTTTCCCTCCTCTAGAGCGCGTTGGGGTGCGTTGGTTCCAAAACGCTACTAGAGAGCTTTCCATCAAGAGATATTGCAGCCACAATAAAAGAAATAAGGAATTAGAAATAAGGAATAAAGATTTTAACCTATCAGATATCGGATACACCGGAATATACGGTTTTTGATAGGTTGGAAACTTTATTCCTTATTTCTAATTCCTTATTCCTTCTATTGTGGCCGCACCATTGCAGCCTGTGTTCCGAACTTCACTGCCAGCGCTGAAGATCTACAGTTTGGGCTGTGTTCGGATTCCCACCTAAGTGCTCCATGGATGTCATATCATCCTTGTTGTTTATCGAATGTTAAACAAGGATGACATGACACCCCGGGAGCATTCGAGTGGATATCCGAACGCAACCTTAGGTGCATTCGTTTACACAGTGGCTAGCGCATCCATTGCTTTTTCATCTGCTATGCTGGGGATCGATTCTGTATCTTGAAACGAGGTGAAAATTACAAAAGTGAGTGAATTTACTAGAATACTGATAATTTCATTGATCAACACCTAGTAAATTTGTTCACTTTTGTAATTTTCACCTTGATTGAAGATACAGGGGGTCAATTCTGTATTTTCAAACAAGGTGAAAATTACAAAAGTGAGCAAATTTACTAAGCGTTGACCAATGAAATTATCAGTAATCTAGTAAATTCGCTCACTTTTGTAATTTTCACCTCATTTCGAGATATAGAATCGATCCCCAGAATCGACCCCTTGGATTCATATAGCGTTTTCGGCCCGACCGGGTTTGCACCAACCTGGGTTGGATTAATGGCGTTTTGCGCTCTCCTATTGGTAGAGCGTGTGACATCAACCAATAGGAAAGATTAATCCAACCCAGGTTGGTGCAAACCCGATCGGGCCGAAAACGCTAATACTGAATCCGACGTGCAGCAGAATTTTATTTCGATGATACGAAGCAAAATCCTGTTTTTTGGTTGGTTGCAGAGCGTCGTACAACGCACGTTGGATTAGAGCACTAGAAACGTAGATATTCGCATCCACCATTTTTATTCCTTTTCTGTGACGGGTTATGGTCATTACAGGTTATGATTTGTGTTTGCTGCTTGAAATTTTGTGGCTCCTTTCATTCCTACAAGGAATTAGTTTGTTTCCAATAACTTAGAAGCTATAACCTATAACAACCGTAACGACGATAATCTTCTCAGCTCGATAATCTTCTCAGCGACGATAATCTTGTCGCAATGAGGTTGCGACACTTTTTTTCGATAAGTTTTGGAATGCAGCTTACTCACCAAGCGATTGGTTCTTATTCATGAATCCACAAATAAAAACCAGTTGCTCGATCAATAAGCTGTATTCCAAAATCCATTGAAAAAAGTGTCGCAACTACATTGATTCTGATTGTACCGGCGTTATAACGAGCAACGCGCAAAGTAATATAGTGGATAACGATTCGTACCGACCGTAGACAGCCAGCTTTGTCTGTGCCACTTCGCGAAGCTCTACATAGATCGCGTCAGTCGAGAGAGTCTCATTTAAGCAGTAAGGAAATCAACGTGTTGGATTCGCTATTGCTTACGTTAGAGACCTAGATTAAAGGCCCGTCTACAATACACGGAGTAAGAAGTAAGCTCGGATCCTCATACGGGCAATAGCGCTTCGACACAGAGCTCTGATTGGTGAAAAACCGGTTGTGGGGGTAAAATTTACCCCCATCACCCGTTTCTCACCAATCAGCGTTCGATGTCAAAGCGCTGTTGCCCGTATGAGGATCCGGGCTAAGAGTAAGAAATTGACCAATCACAGTCGAATGTGAGAAGAATAATCGACTGTGATTGGTCAATTTCTTACTCTTACTTCTTACTCCGTGTATTGTAGACGACGCCTTAGTCGGGATCTACAATAGGGTTTTAAGCCTTAAACCATAAGAAATGGGCGAATCACAGTCGCTTATTCTTCTCGGATTCGACTGTAATTGGTCAATTTCTTACGGCTTAAGGCTTAAAACACCTATTGTAGATCCGGGGTTATCGAAGAGGCGCAACCGATTTAAGTCAGTATGACAAAGGTGCTAAGGAGAGTACTAAACATGGCCGACATGCTATGAAAGGGGTGATCCCGATTGATCACGGCTCGATTGGACACCACCAATCACAGCGACCAGTGCTTAGGAGTTTTGTAGTCTCAAGCGCTGTGAGTGGCTCGTGTCCAATTGAGCCGTGTCCAATTGGGTGCCACCCCTATGAAACTGTCTTTAAACTATGTCAAACAAGATAAGACGTGTAGGATAATGTGAGATAGAATATATAAGCTAAAATGAAATAGAAATATGTCATTAGTACTATAAATGGCTGCCAAGTCACTCAATTGGTCAAATTGCAACAGCGAATCAGAATGCATAACACCGGTTGCGCCTCTCTAATAGCGTTTTCGGCCCGATCGGGTTTACACCAACCTGGGTTGGATTAATCTTTTCTATTGGTTGATGTCACACGCTCTACCAATAGGAGAGCGCAAAACGTCATTAATCCAACCCAGGTTG